TCTGAAACTGTTAAAATAGCTACTTCTCGAGGAACCTGGTTGGTGCCGGTTGTTTTCAGGACCTCGGCGTCACCACTACGTTCCCCGGGCACGAGCGTTTCGCTGTCTGTTCTGAGGCTCTCTCCGGTTCCCCACTTGCTACGTTCCCCCGGGACCCGGTGTCCGGACTGTTCACCCTAGACACCGCTTCCCCCCCAGTTGGTGCGTCCTCCCAGGTCGCTGCAGCTTGCTCGTGTCGGTCTCTCACTCACCCGTCCCTTTTGTGGCACCACCGCCTAGGTCACCCTGCACTCCCGCGTGTGCGTCACATGTCCCAGTACGGTCTTGTCTTAGGCCTCCCCGCGTCGCTCCCCGCCCTTCCCCTCTCGCCTGCTCCACCGTGCACGACCTGCGTCGAGGGCCGGCTCTGCCGTGCCCGTCACTCCTCCTCGCTTCGCCCTTCCACTGCTCTTCTTCAGACCCTGCACCTGGACGTTAGGGGCCCAGCCCTCGTCCCCGGACCGTGCGGTGAGCGCTACTTTCTTGTGCTCGTTGACGACGACACGCGCTACACCACGATGTTTCCCCAGGAACGGAAGGCCGATGTGCCCGACGTTCTTCTCCCGTGGGTTGTGGCTTCGCGTCTTCACCGCGGTCTCCCCGTGTTGTGTCTCCACTCTGACCGTGGCGGAGAGTTCGCTTCTCGTCGGCTTGGACAGTTCTGTCGTGCGGAGGGCATCACCCAGTCGTACACCTTGCCGGACTCACCACAGCAGAATATGGTTGCTGAGCGCCACATCGGCTTGGTCATGGAGGTTGCTCGTACCTCCATGATTCATGCCGATGCTCCCCATTTTCTGTGGCTGTTGGCTGTCCGCTACGCTGCTCACCAGCTTAACCTGTGGCCACGCTCCCAGCGGCCGCGGGTTTCGCCGACCCTCCTTTGGACCGGGTCCCCCGGTGACGCGTCTGCGATCCACGTCTGGAGTTGCCTTGCTCACGTTCGTGCCTCTTGCACGGACAAGCTCACTGCCCGCACTGTCCCTTGCGTCTTCCTCGGTTTCCCCCTGGACTCGTCTGACTGGCGGTTCTACCACCCGCAGTCTCACTGCTTCCTTCACTCTTGTGACGTCACCTTTGACGAGTCTGTCTCCTTCTACCGTCGCTTCCCTCACCGAGGTCTCCCGGTTCCCCCCCCTTTTTCCTGGCTCCCTCTCGCCTCGTCCTACCCCGTCTGGTGTGTCCCATGTAACCCCCCTCACGTCGGTTGTCCCCGTTGAGGAGTCTGCTGACTCTGGTGGTTCCCCCGCCCCGCCCTTGCCGCGTCCCCCTTCCCTGGTGTCTCCGCCCCCGCTGTCGCAGTCGCCGCCGTCGCAGCCGCCGCCGCCGCTGCCACTCTTGGCCTCTGGGGGTGCTGGCGCTGAGGAGGGTGTTCGTCCTGCGGCTCCTCGCGTGGTCTGTCCCGGCGGTCCTGGGGGTGCCGCTGGGGCTGTTGAGGGTTCTCGCTCTTGGGGTGTTGGTTCTGGGGGTACTGCTGTTGAGTGTTGTCCCGGAGGTCGTCGTGCCCCTGCCGGTTCAAGGGTCGAGCACCAGCCGCCGCCGCAGCCGCCGCAGTCGTCGTCGCCGTTCTCCGCTCTTTGACTGCTCGGCCTTCCTTCCCCTGACCGCTCGCCGGTGTCTCCCCCACCTCCTCCTCACCTTCCTGTCTACGGCCTTGCGTTCCCGCCCTCGGACTCTTCTTCGGCCCGTCTTCCTCCTTGTTCCCCTCTTGTGTCCCCTCCGCTGTCTCCTGACCCTACACCTCCTTCCCACGTTTGGTCTCGCCGTCCCTCACGTGCTCGTCCCGTCTCCCCTATCCCAGGCTCCCACCCTATGTTATTCCGTTCTCACTCGTCTCGTCCTCCCCTCCTCCCCTCGCCTCCTCCTTCGTCTCTTGTTGTTGCACCTCCCCCGCTGTCTGACTACCTCCGTGCCGCTCGTCCCCTTGTCCCTCGGGTCCTTGCCTCTCTTGTTACAGACTCGTCTGTTCCTGTCTCTCGCCTTGACGCGCTTGTCGCTGCTGTCGCAGACTTCGCCTCTATCCGCCGCCTTGACTACGCTACCGCTCTGGTCTCTGACCCTGCCCATCATGCGTCCGTCGGGGGTGCACCTGCCCTTGGCAGTGACGTACCAGAGGATAGGCAGTACGAGCTTGCTTTCCTTTCCAAGGCCGCTCCCCATCTCTGCTCCATGCTCCTAGTCCCAGAGGGTGACCCAGACGCCTTCGACATCCCGACCCCTCCCACCTACGCTGAGTCCACCTCGGGACCCTGGGCCTCTCACTGGATAGCTGCCATGGAGCAGGAGATGGCATCTTGGAGGTCCACTGGCACCTACGTCGACGCAGTTCCCCCGCCTGGGGTGAACGTAGTGGATGGTCGGTGACTCTTTAAGGTTAAGCGCCCCCCTGGAGAGCCGCCTGTCTTCAAGGCGTGCTATGTGGCCAGAGGCTTCAGCCAGTGCGAGGGGGTTGACTTCTTCTAGACCTTCGCCCCGACCCCGAAGATGACCACTCTTAGAGCGCTACTACACGTAGCAGCACAGTGCGACTACGAGCTTCACTCCCTCGACTTCTCTACTACCTTTCTTCAGGGCAGCCTACACGAGCAGGTCTACCTGCGTCGACCTCAGGGCTTCACTGGTACCTTCCCCCCTGGGACCCGGTGGCTTCTCCGGCGCCCGGTCTACGGCCTACATCAGGCTCCTCGCGAGTGGCATGACACGCTGCGTGCCACGTTAGCAGACCTGCAGTTCTTTCCATCCTTTGCTGACCCCTCGCTGTTTGTGCGTTCTGGCCAGACTTCGTTCTACATCATTGTCTACGTAGACGATCTGGTCTTTGTTACTGCTGACAGGGACGCACTAGCCTCTGTGAAGGCCGAGCTGCTGAAGAGACACACCTGCACCGACCTTTGAGAGCTGCGTCGCTATCTTGGCCTGCAGATCTCCAGGGACAGAGCAGCACGCACCATCACTCTGACACAGTCACACTTGGTGCGTCAGGTCCTTCAGAGGACCTGACGCACAGCCCACACCTCTACCTGTAGACCATGGGCTCTCTGCTCCCGTTCCTGAGGAGCCAGTAGAGCCCAGAGGACCCTACGCAGAGCTGGTGGGTTGCCTCATGTACCTGATGACTTGCACTCGCCCAGATCTTGCATACCCTCTCAGCATCATGGCTCGCTTTGTGGCCACTGGCTGACACCGGCCACAGCACTGGTCGGCCGCTAAGAGGGCTTTGCGATATCTAGCAAGTACATCGGGCATGGGGTTAGTGCTAGGAGGACGCGGGCCGGTGGTCCTCATTGGGTACACAGACGCTTCTTGGGCAGACGACTCTGAGACTCTCAGGTCGTCTCAGGGCTACTGCTTTAGCCTTGGTTCGGGTGCTATCTCTTGGAGATCCACTCGCTCGTCGTCTGTTGCCCAGTCCAGCTGTGAGGCTGAGATCTACGCTGGTGCCATGGCGGCACAGGAGCTCCGCTGGTTGACCTTCTTGCTCACTGACTTAGGTGAGCGGCCTAGCTCTGCCCCGGTCCTGTACGCTGACAACAGGGCCATGATACTCCTGTGTCAGGAGCCTCGGCTTGAGGGCAGAGCGAAGCATATCCAGCTGCGGTACTTCCTCCTGCGCGAGCTACAGTAGCGTCGCCAGGCCCGTGTAGTTCACTTGGCCTCCGGTGCTAACACATCTGATATCTTTACTTAGGCGCTTGTGCCTAAAGATCATCAGCGGCACTGTGTACAGTTTGGTCTTGTTCCTGTAGCTTCTCATTTGCTAGGGCCATGATTGTGTACTCACTACTATACCTGTCTGACTGGCCTTGTGGCCTTACCTCCAGTGGCTGGACTAGTACTGCCCCCCTGGCTTGCTTTTGTCTTGTTTGTACTCTTGCTGACTGGTCTCCGGACCCCTGCCTTAGTGGTTGGACTAGTAGTGCCACCCTGAGCTGTGTGCTTTTTTCATAGCACCACCCCTTATCTAGCCTAGGGGGTGTGTCAACTTATACATATGATCTATGTAAAAGTTATAGGCTGGACTAGGTGTGTGTTTCTAGTGAGTACAACTCAACAGGTATATGTTCTAGGTTTCTCCTTCTAGTAAAGTATTCACGTAATCTGACACATCCTTCCTTACAATCACGATAATCGTAGCCATGGGAGAAACATATTGTAACAATACCGTTTTCATGTATTGATCTCAATTAATATTTCAGATTTTAAAATATGAGTTGCAAATTCCGACACATGAAATGCCTAGTACTCATCTTTCTTAAAAGAAACCAAGCGTTCCTAGTGAAAAATGGACAGAATTTTGGTTTTTGTAAATTCACTAGGGAAGCTAAAATAGGGTGCACAGAGGGAGGCAGTGCACACGAGCCGACATGCTGGAAAGTTGGCGATCTCCTGAAATGTGGGCGTTTCCGCCTCACTTGTTCAAGCATACAGGAACGCCAACCATGTGGTCGAGAGGCTGTAGTGATGCGCTGGACGATCGAACGGCAGCCATCGCCTCTTCATTTTGAGTCCTGCGGTGAAGATGTGTCAATGGCCGAAGTGGTTAGTGAGGGCTAAATTTCATTTCCGTCGTCTCTCTGGGAAATTGTCCTGAAACTTTTACGGGCCACCTCAAATCACTGGTAATTGCGTTGAGCCGCATTAGGATACTCCAATGTACTGGATACGCTAGTTATGTCCAGTTCGGAAGATCTGCAGCGATCCCAGGGCAGCCCGAGCGCCACCAGTCTGCCTCCACCACACCGATAGCCGTAACCGAAGAGTGGGCGACAGGTGGATTTGTGTGGAATTTCCTGCGCACATTTGCCCCACTCTTCCCCCCATCCCCTCCCCCAGTGGTTGGTTGGTGAGGGGCAACCTGCGCTTTGCTGCGCATTGCGATGCCTGGTTGTCCATCGTTGTCGCCCGCGGCTCGGCCGCGCATAAATGTAAGTGGATGCCCCCTCCGACGCACATTTCATAACGCAACCTCCAGTCAGCCTCCAAGAAAAGCTCTCAATTTATCCACTACTCCAGTTTCCACTCATCCTTTTAGTTCGGAACCTCAGCGAGTTTTGGTCAGACTCGCGACCTCTCGACCTCGATTTTGTGCACCTGTTTCAACACGAACGGGACATAAGCAGCCGTCAATACCTGATCAGCCCTTTACCTACACGACATCCCAAGGCCCGCCACGCTAAACCACTGATCGCGGATCATCGTCGCAGCTGAGCCATCATGGCGGGAAAGCTCCTGGGCGAGAAAGGATCCGCGAGCGCGGAGAGCAGCAACATGCTGGACTTTGACACGGCGGCGGCAGAGGCGGTGAGCGAAGAGGAGCAACCGGTGGAGCCGCTCGACAGCTTCGTGGAGCGCGCGCTCGTCAAGTCGCGCGCGCAGTACGACGCCATGTACCGCCAGTCGCTCGACGACCCCGAGGCCTTCTGGGGCGACATGTCGGCGCAGTACCACTGGGAGACTCAGTGGGAGGTACGCTGCCGCTCCGCATTGCGTCGAAAGCATTTCCCCGTCCTGATTTTAGGTCAGGTTACAAATGATTCTTCACCAACTCTTCATCAACGCTTCATTAACCATACAAAGCATGCAATTTGAGCCACGCAGCAGCTGGACAAAGATCACCTTTCTAAGCCTTGTACGCTTTCAAGTGGGAAACCATACGCTTTTCGATTATGCGACGCTCATATGTGACACGCGGGACCCCCCTCCGCCAGGTGCTGCAAGCGGGCAACATGGACGTGCGCCAGGGCGCGGTGGACATCAGGTGGTTCGTGGGCGGGCGCACCAACCTGTGCTACAACGCCGTAGACCGCCACGTGGCGGCGGGCCGCGGCGACAAGGTGGCTATCTTCTGGGAGGGCAACGACCTGGGCGTGTCGGGCTCGTGGACGTACTCCCACCTGTTGACTCAGGTCTGCCGCATCGCCAACTACCTGCGAAGCGTGGGCGTGCGCAAGGGCGACGTGGTCACGATCTACCTCCCCATGGTCCCCGAGCTCCCCGCCGCCATGCTCGCGTGCGCGCGCATCGGCGCGGTGCACTCGGTGGTGTTCGCGGGGTTCTCCGCGGAGGCCCTGGCGGGGCGCATCGCGGACTCGGCGTCGCGCGTGGTGCTGACGGCTTCCGCGGTGATGCGCGGGACGAAGCTGATCGCGCTGAAGAAGATCGTCGACGACGCCGTGGCGCAGTGCCCCGAGGGACTGCAGCCGTCCACCGTGCTGGTCTTCGACAACGACCTCGCCATGCCGCGCGCGCACGTGCCGTTCGAGCCCGCGCGCGACGTGTGGTGGCAGGACTCGGTGCGGTTGCTGCCGGGAGAATGCAGCGTCGAGTGGTTGAAGTCCGAAGACCCGCTCTTTCTCCTCTACACGTCGGGCAGCACCGGGAAGCCCAAGGGCGTGCAGCACACGACGGGCGGGTTCATGGTGGGCGCGGGCACGAGCTTCAAGTACATATTCGACCACCACGAGGACGACGTGTACTGGTGCACGGCGGACTGCGGGTGGATCACGGGCCACACGTACTTGGCGTACGGCCCGCTGCTCAACGGGTCGTCCATGGTGGTCTTCGAGGGCGTGCCCACGCATCCCGACGCCGGACGCTGCTGGGATGTTGTCGATAAGTGAGTGATGCGGGGGGGGGGGGAGTTGAGGGAGGGGGTGAATGGGAGGAACGGGGGGAGCGAGAAGGGGGGGAGGCAAGAAGGGGGACGGGAGAGGAGGTGGAGGGTGGAATTGGCATGTGCTGTCTTGGTTGATGCTGGGATCTAGCTTCAGGACTCAATTCCCCTCTCATATGCTTGTCTATGTGCATGGCTTGCTGCGCTGTGCTCACCCGCCCCCATCAGGTACAAGGTGACTGTCTTCTATACCGCGCCCACAGCCATCCGCGCACTCATGCGGTGCGGCGACCAGGTGAGCCCTCACCACCACTACCCATTCCCATCAGAACATTCGCTGGACGTCTCAAATGCAGTCCCTCCCACCATCCGTTGCTGCATTGCCTGCCAATTCCTCCCAGCCTCACGCACTCCACCCAATTCCTGTGATTTACACTGCATTCCAACCCCATCCCCCCGACTCACACCCCTATCTCTACCTCTGCCCTTACCCCTCCTCCCGTGCTGGCAGTGGCCTGGCAAGTACAGCCTGGCATCGCTTCGCCTGCTCGGGAGTGTTGGAGAGCCCATCAACCCCGAGGCATGGCGGTAAGAACCCATGCACCATTCATCATGTTACCACGCATCATGCACCATGCACCACGCACCATGCACGCGCCGCGCACCACTCTTGTTCCCTCCATCCCTGCTGCCTCTCCCTCACTAGTCTCCCCTCTCTCTCCATGCCCCTGCCGCCCCTCCCTCCCCACCCTCCCTCTACTCCCACCAGCTGGTTCCACTCCGCAGTGGGCAGGGGGCGCTGCCCCATAGTGGACACCTGGTGGCAGACGGAGACAGGCGCTATCATGGTGAGCTCCAGGCGAACTCATGGGGCTTTGCAAGTCGTACCACGACAAGTTTGATGAATGTTGATCATGAATGAAAGCCACGCACAATTCTCATTGCGACAAACCATTCTTATTCCACACTTCACCCACAAACACTAACCACTTCACCTCCTACCCCTCTGTCGCCCCTCACCCATTTCAGATCACCCCCCTCCCAGGCGCCATGCCCTTAAAGCCTGGGTGCGCCACCCTCCCCTTCTTCGGCGTGGAGCCGGTGGTGCTGGACGAGCAGGGGCGCGAGGTGGAGGGCGAGGCGGCGGGGCTGCTGTGCATCAAGCGCCCCTGGCCCAGCATGATGCGCACCGTCGTGGGCGACCACGCACGCTACGAGACCAACTACTTCGCCCCCTTCCCGGTATGCCCGGCCTCACAGCCCGCACCCCCATCCTCCACCCATCTCCTGTCCTCTCCTCACCTCTACCTCCTTTATGCTTCGCCATCTCGTCACCCATGGTAATCAGCGTTCATTTGCCCCCCCCCACTGTCCTGCCCATGCCTCCAGGGTTACTACTTCTCGGGGGATGGCTGTCGCAGGGACGCTGATGGCTTCTACTGGATCACAGGCAGGGTGGACGACGTCATCAACGTCAGGTGAATGCTGGGGCTATGTTGCACGACTACCGAATGGAGTGGCGTGCTCAGCTCAGACCACGAGCATGTGCCACGTGTCCTTTCTGTGACCTTCCAGGAGCCCTGCTCCGTCGCACCTGCGTTCTTGTGTTTTCCCTTCTCATTTTTCTTCCCAGCTTCCAATCTCATTGCCCTCCCCATCTCATTTTCCCTCCCATCTCCTTGTCTTCGCCAGTGGTCACCGCATTGGCACAGCCGAGGTGGAGAGTGCGCTTGTTGCCCACGACATATGTGCTGAGGTGAGGGGAAGGAGGGGTGACACAAAGATTGCAGACTAGCAAGCTTTCACAGTACAGAATAGTTCTCTGTTCACAATACAGAAAGTTATCCGCAGGTCTCCTAGTTGACATCCACTGTTTGCACAACTCCCTGACTCTCCTCTGCGCCCCTACATCTCCCCCCACACATTCCCCCCACACTAACCACAGGCGGCAGTGGTGGGCTATGAGCATCCCATCAAGGGCCAGGGCATCTACGCCTTTGTCACACTTATGGAAGGGTAAGCATTAAATTCCATGGCTGCCATCGTTCCCACCACGTTCTCACCATCAACTTCCTCTCATCATCTTGCACTCAAATCTCCTTTCCCATTCTTCCACCCCCTTGGTGCATCCACCTGCCAGCATTGTGCAATCTGACGAGGTGAGGGCACAGCTCAAGTCAGCGGTGCGTCAGCACATAGGGGCATTCGCTGCCCCTGATGTTATCCACTGGGCTCCTGGCCTGCCAAAAACTGTAAGCAGCATGCATTGCTAGCCGTATTGAATTTATTATGTTGGCTATCTGGTACAGGACATGTTTCAACTACCATGCACAATGCTCATTGTCACAATAGCAGCAATTCTTCTGTTTTGCTTGAGCAGCGGTCTGGAAAGATTATGCGCCGCGTACTGCGCAAGATAGCTGCCAACGACATCGAAGCTCTTGGTACGTACCACAAGTTAAGACTAATTTACTGAATTTAGCATGAGGAGATGCAGAAGTGGAAATCCTTCGTTGATCCTACTAAACACCCATCTTCCGTCCCCTCCTCTACTGTTCTATTCCATTCTGAACATGTGCAGGTGACCTTACCACATTGGCTGACCCGTGTGTTGTGCAAAGCTTGATTGGTCTGCGGGGGAAATAAGCCTTTACAGGATAGCATTGTACATGAAATCGTGTTGCATCCATGTAAGTTATTGTATATCCTTCTATCAAAATTAGTGAAGTGAATTATGATAAAGAGAGAGTACATACAGATATACCTAAGTGTTGTACCCTCTAAGAGGCTACCCTATACAGTCTATACAAACATGACAAATACACATGTTTGACACACCCCTTGGATTGCATAGGGGAATGTCCTAAACAAGCAGCTCAGGGCGGCACTACTAGTCCAACCTCTGAGACAAGGGTCTGAGAGACCAGTCAGAAGGAGTACAGACAAGGCAAGAACAAGAGCAAGGCGACACTACTAGTCCAGCCACAGGGAGAGGACACAAGTCCAGTCTGAGTATACGTATAAAGTAGAGTACAACGTCAAGGTCCTAGCAAGTGAGAGGCTACAGGAACTAGACCGAGCTGTACACAGTGCCGCTGATGATCTCTAGGCGCAAGCGCCTTCGTAAAGATATCAGCCGTGTTGGCACCTGAGGCCAAGTGTACTACGCGAGCCTGACGTCGCTGCTGTAGCTCACGCAGGAGGAAGTACCGCAGCTGAATGTGCTTTGCTCTGCCCTCGAGTTGAGGCTCTTGACACAGGAGGATCATGGCCCTGTTGTCAGCGAACAGGACCGGGGCAGAGCTAGGCCGCTCACCTAAGTCAGTGAGCAAGAAGGTCAGCCAGCGGAGCTCCTGTGCCGCCATGGCACCAGCGTAGATCTCAGCCTCACAGCTGGACTGCGCAACAGACGAGGAGCGGGTAGCTCTCCACGAGACGGCACCTGAGCCAAGGCTGAAGCAGTAGCCCTGGGTAGACCTGAGTGTCTCAGCGTCGTTTGCCCACGAAGCGTCTGTGTGTCCAGTAAGGACCACTGGCCTGCGTCCTCCAAGCACTAACCCCATGCCCGATGTACTAGCAAGATAACGCAGAACCCTCTTAGCGGTAGACCAGTGCTGCGGTCGGTGTCTGCCTGTGGCCACAAAGCGAGCCAGGATGCTGAGAGGGTATGCGAGATCTGGGCGAGTGCAAGTCATCAGGTACATGAGGCAACCCACCAGCTCTGCGTAGGGGCCGCTGGGCTCTACCAACTCCTCAGACACTGGAGCGGAGAGTCTGTGGTCTACAGGCAGAGGGGTGGGCTGTGCAGAGGAGAACTGAAGGCTGAACCTTTGAAGGACCTGGCGCACCAAGTGTGACTGAGTCAGGGTGATGGTGCGCGCAGCTCTGTCCCTGGAGATCTGCAAGCCAAGGTAACGGCGCAGTTCTCCAAGGTCAGTGCACGTGTGTCTCTTCAGCAGCTCTGCCTTCACGGAGGCCAGTGCGTCCCTGTCTGCTGTGGCAAAGACCAGGTCGTCGACGTAAACAAGGATGTAGAACGGAGTCTGGCTAGCACGAACGAAGAGTGAAGGGTCTGCGGAAGACGGAAAGAACTGCAGGTCAGGAAGCGTAGCACGGAGAGTGTCGTGCCACTCACGGGGAGCCTGGCGCAGGCCGTAGACGGGGCGCCGCAGGAGCCACTGGGTCCCAGAAGGGAAGGTGCCAGTAAAGCCCTGAGGACGACGCAAGTAGACCTGCTCGTGTAGGCTTCCCTGAAGGAAGGCAGTGGAGAAGTCGAGGGAGTGGAGCTCGTAGTCACGCTGAGCAGCTAGGTGTAACAGAACCCGAAGAGTAGTCATCTTCGGGGTCGGAGCGAAGGTCTGGAAGAAGTCTACCCCCTCACGCTGACTGAAGCCTCTAGCGACAGAGCGCGCCTTGAAGACAGGCGGCTCTCCAGGAGGGCGCTTCACCTTGAAGAGCCAGCGGCCATCGACTACGTTCACCCCAGGTGGGGGAACTGCGTCGACGAAGGTGCCGGTGGATCTCCAAGATGCCATCTCCTGCTCCATGACACCTATCCACTGCGAGGCCCAGGGTCCTGAAGTCGCCTCAGCGTAAGTGCGAGGGGTCGGGATGTCGAAAGCGTCTGGGTCACCCTCAGGGACTAGCAGCATGGAACAGAGATGGGGAGCAGCCTCGGACAGGAAAGCAAGCTCGAACTGGCAGTCCTCGAGGACGTCACTGCCAAGGACAGGAGCACCCCCGACAGACGGAGGACAGGCAGGGCCAGAGACCATAGCGGAGGCGTAGTCAAGGCGATGGGTAGAGGCGAAGTCAACGACAGCAGCGACAAGAGCGTCAAGGCACGAGGCCGGAACAGACGGGTCGGTAACGAGAGAGGCAAGGACCCGAGGAACAAGGGGACGAGCGGCACGAAGGTAGTCAGACAGCGGGGGGGGTGCAACAACAAGGGAGGACGGAGGAGGCGTCGGCAGAAGGGGAGGACGAGACGCGTGGGAACGAAGCAACATAGGGTGGGAGCGCAAGACAGGCGAGGCAGGACGAGCACGGGAGGGACGGTGAGACCAAACGTGCGACGGAGGAGTCGGGTCAGGAGACAGAGGAGGGGACACAGGAGGGGAACGAGGGGGGAGACGGGCAGGGGACGAGTCCGGCGGAGGGAAGACAGGGCCGTAGACAGGAAGAGGAGGAGACGGTCGGGGAGGAACCGACGCAGGGTCGGGGGACGGAAGGCCGAGCAGGCGAAGGGCTGACACCGGCGGGGACTGCTGCTGCGGCGGCACAACGGCGACACCTGGACCGCAAGCTGCTCCTCGGCTACCACCGGCACTCTACACACCAGCACCCCCAGAGGGACCACCCCCAGGGCTACCGGGACGAGCGCCCCCAGAGTCAGCGAACGGGTGCTGCGACGGCGGCGGCGGCGGCGGCGGCAGCGACGACCGCAACAACGACGGCTGCAGCGGCGGCAGAGGCGGTGGAGGGGGGGACTGGGGAGGGGACGCCAGGGGAGGGGCGGCCGGCGAGGACTGAACAGGAGGGCCACCAGAGTCAGAAGACTCCTCAACCGGGTCCACCGACTGAAGGGGGGTGACATGGGACACACCAGAGGGGGCGGGACGGGGAGGAGGAGGAGGAGGCGCAGGGACGACCGGGGAGGGAGTGACCAGGAACAGGGGGGGGGGTAACCGGGGGACCACGGTGGGGGAAGCGACGGTAGTAGGAGACAGACTCGTCAGAGGTGATGTCACGAGAGTGAAAGAACCGGTGAGACGGCGATGGACACGCGCAGAGACAAGCCAGGGGATGAGAGCTCCAGGCACGTCGGCCTTGCGCTCCAGGGGAAAGACTGTGGTGTAACGAGTGAAGTCGTCGACAAGCACAAGGAAGTAGCGCTCTCGACGCGGCCCAGGGACGGGGGCGGGGCCCCAGACGTCCAGGTGCAGGGTCTGCAGAGGCGCGGCAGTAGGGGGAAACGAGGAGGAGTGAGGGGCACGGCGAAGCCGACCCTCGACACAAGGCGTGCAAGGTGGGGCTGGGGAGGAGGGAAACGCGGGGAGGGAACCTGGGAGACCAAGGACAAGACCGTGCTGGGACATGTGACGCAGACGCGGGAGTGCAGGGTGACCTAGGCGGTGGTGCCAAAGGAGGGTCGGGTGAGTGAGGGACCGACAGGAGCAGGCAGCAGCAACCTGGGTGAGCGCTCCAGCCGGGGGGGTCACGGTCTCCAGAGTGAACAGGCCGGACACCGGGTCCCGGGGGAACGTGGACAGGGGGGCACCAGTGGCGGCCTCGGTACAGACAGCATACCGCTCGTGACCAGGGAACGTAGTGGTGACGCCAAGGTCCTGGAGGCAGCCGACACCAACTAGGTTCCTGGAGAACGAGGGGATATGCAGACCTGTGAGAGAGCCCGAAGGAACCGCCGGACAGGGAAGGGTGGTGGAACTGCGGGCGACGACCGGACCGCCGGAGGGGTCAGCAAGAGAGATAGCAGCTGGGACAGGAAGCGGCGTCAGGGTGGTGGAGTCGCGGAAGAAACACCGAGAAGCGCCAGAGTCTAAGGTGAAGGAAAGCGAAGCAGAGGCGTCTGGCAACGGAACGACGGCGGAAGCACCAAGACTACACAAAGCAGGGGATCCTACGCCTGACGCAGCAGGGGAGGCTAAGCTAGGCACACCTACACTAGGCAACAGTGAGTAATAGGCGGGAAGCACACTAGAGTCATCAGCATACATCACATGCAGAGCAGAAACAATGGCATCCATGTCCATATAAAAAATCTGAATCTTACGACTAAGCAAACTGTGCCAGTCCGGGAGGTCTGGCGACGGGCCGAAGCGCTGACGAAACAGGTCGTCCAGGCGACAAAAACAACGGGGAGTGGAGTGACCGATCTTACCGCAAACGAAGCCGCGGCGAGGACCGGTCTGGATCTGGTACTGACAACGCCTGCCGCCAGAGCCACCACTCGGCACAGCACCACGCGCCCGGCCACCGCCAGCGCCGGGCCACCCGGGCGGGAGGACACTCGTCTGCCGCGTCTGCGACGGCTGCTGCGGCTGCTGCGAAGGCTGCGACTGCGGCGGCTGCTGCGACTGCTGCAACTGCAGGGGCGGCGGCTCAGCTGGACTGGGCAGGGCCCCCTCGTTCGCTCCAGCACCAGACGACCCGACCCCACCACTACCCCCTCCCGCACCCCCGCCGCCGCCGCCGCCGCGCCCAACCTTGGGGCGGCGGCCCTTCCCCGAACGAAACTGCGCTGCAGCAGCAGTCTCAGCCACTGCGGCAGAGCCGTCGGAGAAGGTACACTGGGCGGGGGCACAACCCTGAAAGATAGGGACCGGCACGACACCGCTCGCCTGGGCGATGGAGCGGTGACGGGTCTCTATCACAGTCAGGGTGTCTACAAAGTCAGTGAGGGTGAGGTCTGCGGGGTGAATGCTTAGGAAGCGGTCGCGGGCGACAGCAAGGCGGTCTGGGAGGCGGGTGGCAAGCAGGTAGAGGGTAGAGGTAATAGGCGGCTGGTGTGCTCTAAGCTGTGCATCAGTGCAGGCTGCACGCCAGGTCTCATCTATCGAGCGCAGGTGGGCAGCGAGGTCAGAGACAGTGGGGAAAGATGCAAGGTCAGGAAAGAGCATCGGGAGGATCAGGCGACCCACCGAGGCAGCCGGAGGGGTGGAATAGCGCTGGATGACAGCATCTAAGTATGCCTGAGCAGTGGTGAGAGACCTAAAG